GGGAGGATTAAATGAAACCTTTTTCGTTGTGAATCAGTTGATTTATTTTGATGAGTGAGAAGCTTAGTAAAATATTGTAAGTCTTCATCTTACGCCATCACATTTTTTTATTCCATATATTTTTATATATTCTCCTCTACGTAGACGGATTTTAAGTTTTGACATAATAATGAAATAGCTCTAAACATTGCACTCTTACTCGTACTGACCATTGCAGTGTAGGACGATCCCCCGCTAGATGGAGTGACGACCTCTGTAAGTAGGCGGGAAGTCTATGGATGCAGGTGGCTCGTGCATCGTGGTAGTCTGATGGAGAGGCAAATGTTCAGCAGTGGACTCAAACAGGCTCAAATGATGATTGCATTATTGGGGCTTCGAATGCATTTGTTGCGAATATATTTTTTAATCATTCTCTACATTATGATAATTGCAAGGCTAAGCTCTCTTTAATTGAAAATATATCCAGCTTTGAAATTAAAGAAAACAAACATTGTTACGTTATATATGCGCTTTCATAAAAATACTTACCAATCTTTCTACTGTCTAACAATACAATACGACAGTAAAAATCAAACTAATATTCAATTAAGAGAAATGATAACATCATCTCGACAACGCCACCAACAACATATCCAGAGCTGTTTTACTCGGGAAAAAAAGCGAAGACTTTTTTTTATTCGTATTACAAATTTGCGAACACATACCAAAAGCTGATAGCTGTGTATAGCAGCAAAATTTAAAAAGTTTTCAAAACACACGATGTAGACACGAAAAAGTTCGACAGGCTTCCCGTCAGTGCGTATCACGGTAAGACTGAAATTATCAACTTAACAATAATGTAATAGATAAATAGATAAAGCTAAGTCGCGTCAAAGTATTTAACGTGCAATACTGGGCTTGTGTGGAAGTTACATAAAAGAATCGTCTGAGTACCGAGCTTTTTATTTTCGAATCTCGTAATAATGTAATACATTAATGGCAATGTTTTTTTTAAGAAAAATCAACAAATCTACATTTTTGAAGATTGAGTTACCATATGTAGGATTTTCTCAGTTCAAGACTTTAGGTTACTTCGAAGACAATGGTGGTGGGGTAATAAAGTCACATGTGAGATTAATAAAACTTTTTTCGATTGTAGTGTTAAGTAAGGAAAGGACTGCTGACATAAGACAGGAGTTAAAGCGTTAAGCGTTCTGTCCGGTAAATGAGCTAGCTTCATTGTTGTTATCAGTATGCATGGTCTGTAAAAAAAAGAGTAAAGTTTTTTTTTGGAGAATAGGGGCAAACGATTAGGAAGCAAGTAACAGTATATACATGTCCCGCTGCTGGGCAAAGGACTCCTTTGTACAGGAGGGCATAGTCCACCACGCGGCCCCACTGCGGATTGGTGGACTTCACATATCTTCGAAATATTTTTTTGGTATTATTACCAAAATATGCAGGTTTCCTCACGATGTTTTCCTTCGCCGTTGAGCATGTGATAAGTCAACGCTTAAAATTAACAATTTCATTAGCAACGGCACCGGAGGTCGAACTCAGGTTGCTCGAAGTATATTAAATTAAAAGCAAGCGCCCGGATACTGAACTATCACGGCTACCCTGTGGTGTGCATTAACAAACTGCTTAACTGTTGCCTTTGCGTTGAAATAAAAAAGAACCCGTTATATACTGTGACTGCTGGGCACTCGCCAGTGATCCACAATGTCAAGGTGGCAAAAGGCGTGTTTACAATTCTTTGGAGCATGCACAATAACAATTTTTATATAAGTAGGTATTTGTTGATACGTTAAAGTATTTTTTTATGTGAGAAAGTGGCAAATGAGCTGGCGGGTCACGTGATGTTAAGTGATAACCGCCTACCCATGGACGTTAGTGACACCCATAGGGTTACAAATGCGTTGCCACCTCTTAGTAAAGTGGGCCTCGGCTACCTCACTCACTAGACGAAACGCAGAAGTATAACACTTCCACTTCACGCCGGTCTTCTGTGAGGTCGTGGTACTAACCCGGACGGGCCTGCCCATTCGTGCAACAGCGAAAACTGTTGCGTGGCCCTACCACCGTTAAAAACTAGTAATATAATAACTAATGGTCCTGTATGACAATGTTGCATTTTCTTCTTTAAATTACGTTTAAAGAAGAAATTACAAATTAAATAAATTGAAGCAAATAATTAAGATATAGATATTAATTATACATTTACTAAGCAGGCCTAATCTAAAATTTTTTAGTCAATTGAAAAGTAAATTAGTAGCTTTGTTTTGACTTAAATTATGGTTTCTAACAGGCGATAGTGCCATATCGTTTACTAAAGATATACTCGTATGGTGTGGTATGCGAATACTGACATACTTGCCTTTGCGAAATCGATATGCTATGCGACAAGATGGTCGCCCAATTAATTATTACGAGGCGGAGACTCGAACACGGGCCTCGCAACAAGTGATCGGGTAAATTGAGCACTGTCAACATCGCAATTTGCATATTCAATGACATAATAAATGACCCGATATAAGCCATTGGCTTTTTTTACACAGTGTGGTAAGATTGGCTCTATGAAGATTGCACCGTGTGTTCGCTAAGATTATGTTTATAAAAGGCAAAAACGGGTCCTTCATCCTTTCGCTCTTTTAAAATAATGGAGTAAGCAGAGATAGACGATGTCAATGCCTCAAAAAATTCGTTAAGTCATACACGTGACAAGGTTTAAGCCTGTTAAATTTTTTTATTTGAGAAGGTGGCAAGGGAAATGGTGTTTCACCTGATTTTAATTAATAACCGCCGGCCATGGACGTTTGCAACACCCGTGACAGATGCATTGCAATCTTATAATTACCTCACTCACCAGACGAAACGCAGAAGTATGACACTTCCACTTCACGCCAGTCTTCTGTGTGGTTTTGGTACTTATCCGGACGGAACTGCCCATTCGTGCAACAGCCGAAGCTGTTGCTTGGCCCTGCCACAGTTTCATTCATTCAAAAAATTATTAGGAAATGGAAAACACATCGAGACCACCGGTCGTACATAACGTTTTCAGCCATAGTTTTCCATTGCCATTTCGTAATTTTGCTTAGTAATCAAACAAGTCTATTTTATTAACGAAAAACAAAACCGTCTTCAAATATCTCGACTTTCAGTAGTCCCCCGAAGTATCTCCGGAGTCCAAGATCCAATAACAATGAAATTAAATACGGGATCAAATGGGAGCTAAAACGGCGAACTCAGTACAAAAATAAATTTTAGAATCGCTTTATAAGTGACGTAGTTCTGAGGTTCATATAAAATAAAAAAAATACAAACGATTTGAGATTCATTTTTTAAGTCGGTTGAAAAATCTACGATTGTCTAAAACAAAAATCCTATTTCCATCTTTAGGAATACTTTGATTTTGCTGTACTGTTGCGGCAACGATAAAATGTTCGATAATAATTCTCAGTTGCAACAACATAGAAAACACTATTGTAAATCCTTACTAATATTATAAAGGCGAAAGTTTGTACGTATGGATGGATGTTTGTTACTCTTTCACGCAAATTTCAGAAACTTTATAATAGCTTATACATCAAAATGAGACATATGCTATAATTTATATACATATTTTATGTATATCTTCTGTCTTTCTGTCTGAATGTTACGCCTTCAGCCTATTCTACGCAGACATAGTCACGGCCAGCAGCTAGTGTTTTCATAAAATCATAGCGATTATAAAATCTCTCACCTACAACCCAATAACAAAAATGAACATATAATATGTAGGTTCCATGAGTTGACGGCAACATGGATAGCCGGTACTAATTTATACAAAAAAAAGAAAAAAAGTAAAGTAACAGCCTAGTTGACGGCAACATGGATATTGGCGGACTTGACATATCTTAAAATTAATTTATACAAGTATAATACTAATTTATAAAAATTACTGTTCCTTACCTTATCTTTTTTTGTATAAGGTAATACAGATTATACAACATGCTGTGTAGTTCACATTAATATTTCTTGGGACGTTGAAACGCTTATCTCCCTGAGAAGATTCAAACAGCCCACCAGCGACGCACAACTACAATTGATAACTTCACCAAGTAATTACCACTTTTAGTGTAGCAACATACCAAGGTGTATTCGGTAACACAATCATTCGATACGGTCAATATTTCATGTGTAACAATATCGTATTTTAAAAATATGGAATGTATTTATTACGTGCATTATAATCAGCGTATAATATTTTACGTTTCAATCGATAGACATATTTCTATCGCACCGAAGTAATTTACTCGAAGTTACATAATTATTTCAAATATAGAAATTCCATTGTGAAGGTCATATTAAGAAAAAAAAATGATATATGTATTATGTATCTCTCTCGAAACTTTCACGCTCATTTGATACGTACGTTATTTTTAACTACGATATGATTTAAGCGGTTATCAACTATGAAATATGTCAACGAATTACTTGAATAAAGAACTCGACAAAAATCTACACATTAATAATGCGTTGGGCTTAACTCTCACAATTAAAATCAATGTTATTTAAAAAAAAACTAAGTAAAAATAATATCATTCGTATCATTACTAATTAACAAAAAGTTTATACTACATGGAAGTATTGAGCCGAATACAATAAATGAACCGATGCCTTATAATTAAAAAAAGAATGTATTTTTCATCTGTTTTGTTACAGTTTTAATTTAAATTTAATAAGCGATTCGACCTAAGTGCTCCGGATATAGATTATCTGCGCGCGCCGCGGGCTGTCATCTCCGCGCCGCTCACAAGGAAGCCTTGCCTTCCAATCGGCGTAGCTGATCCACCACATTGCGATTCGACGGCCGTGATGCCTTTTTCAGCGACAAAAGCGTTCTAAGGTAAGATGGGAGGTATATATAACCATCGGGTCTTCTTGCAAACATCACAGTACTCAGCGAGCAGCCCAGCCGCATCATCACTAGATTATAACCTCTTCTTCATTTTCATTATTACTTTTAAATTTTATTTATAATGAAGCTGGTGAGTATAAGCTGCTGGCTACATTTTGTTTTTATAATTTCGTTGAATCCTTTTGTTATAGCAGTAAATTTTTCCGATCGGCATTTTCTTTAATTACGCAAAGATGGTTTAAAATATTTTTATGTATCTTAAAGCTCAGATTATCCCATTAACAGTTAATAATTAAACAAAATAAATTTAAATTTTTATTTCATAAAATGACTGAAAAGACCTTTTTAATTTTTTTATACTGCTATTTACATATATGTAAATTAAAAAAGTCCGTACAACATTGTTGGAATCTCAATTTAGCGTTATTACCGGGTCTGTCTAGAAAATTTTCTTATTTATTAAATTTTCCATTTGAGTTGGCACCTCTGTTATTCAATGTAAACTGTTTCTAATGTAATGTTTTTAATCTTTAGTCTGCGTAGTATTCACTTTCCTTAAAGGTTTGAAAGGTCAAACCTTTAAGGACCAAAGACCAAAATATCAAGACCTTTAAGCCTTATAATGTAGAGCAATCCCGCGCCCTACAACTAAATTCCTAGACATCTTAAGTTTTAAATTATTAGACGAGGCTATGTTAATAAGTATGAGGCTATAGAACGAATTCCGAAATTAATTTATCTACATTATTTGCTTGCTACATCTTATATGTTTTTACGTTTGTAATATTATGCATTTCCAAAAAAAGCTATATATGATATAATATCGTGAGCACTGATTTAAAAAAATATAAAAACCGGTGATAATAGTAATATAAGAATACTTAAGCGTTTACGATAAAAATTGTGTAGTAAACGAAAACCCTTCTGCATAGTTCATCGTCGCCGCCGTGCTAGGAGTGTGCTCCGCAGCCCGTTTGGACAACACCTACCTCCCTCCGAGAGGAGGCGCAGGCTCAGGGTTCGGAGGGGGCAACGGCTTCGGAGCCGGCGGTGCCGGTCGGTTTGGCGGATCCGGGGGCGCCGGAGGGTTCGGCGGTCCCGGGGGTGCCGGTGGATTTGGCGGTCCTGTGAGCGCCGGAGGGTTCGGTGGTGCGGGGGGCGCCAGTGGTTTTGGCGGTGCCGGGGGCTACAGCGGCGGGGCGGGGGCGTACAGCGGCAGGCAGTCCGCCGAAGCAGGCGCTCAGATCCTCAGGCTGAACAACGAGATAAACGGCGACAGCTTCTCGTACGACTTCGAGACCTCGAACGGGATCCGCGCCGACGCCTCCGGCGTGGCCACTAACGGCGTCCAGTCCCAGGGCAGCTTCGCCTACAAGGGTGACGACGGCCAGGACTACAGCATCACTTACACCGCCGACGAGAACGGCTTCCAGCCGCGTGGCGCCCACCTCCCCACCCCGCCGCCGATCCCCGAAGCCATCTTGAAGTCTCTGGAGCAGAACGCCCGCGACGAGGCCGCTGGTATTGTTGACGACGGTGAGTTTTTCTATGTGAAAAGTTGACAAGCGAGCAGGCGGTCCACCCGATGTTGAGTGAATACCGCCGCCCATGGACGTCTGCTACACCCAAGGGTTACAGATGCGTCGACAACCTTTTGAAAATTGGGCTCCGGCTACCTCACTTCGAGACGAAACGCTAAAGTATTTGTCGTACTTCCACTTTACACCGGTCTTCTGTGAGGTCGTGGTACTTACCCGGACGAGCCTGCCCATTCGTGCAACACCCGAGGCGGCTGCGTGTACCACAATTTGTCACTTATCGCTTTAAATACAAAGTTCATACAAACGTTGACACATAAGCCTTATTGGGCAGGTTCCTTCGAGATTTCTTCTCATAATGTAGTATAAACGTAATACGTAATGTTTTCCCGCCTCCATTGTGACACCGTGACGAATATAAAGCCTTATTAGTCACAGTAATAATAACAGAAGTTGGCAACTGCATAGATAGGCAATTTACAATCGGATAATGTTTCTATATGTTTGATTAGTTACGATGCGTAAAAGAAACATGTGCGGTTTCGTCACATTTTAGTATTTTAGTTATAATGTTGGGAAAAAGTAATTCAATATTCGTGCAATGTACTTTGAAATAATATCTAAATTTAGTTAATTTGGATAGGTGTCTCATATCTTAACAATTTAATCTTTTAGATAACGCATTTCGTATTTAACACAAAGTACCAAAAAGTTACAATACTTTCGACCATTCTCCCTGCTTACTTCGAAAGGCTTATAATCCTCTCATTCAAATTAAGATCAAAATCCTTGAAATAGAATATGATTGGAATGGGTCACCACAACGGGAGTAGTATAATTCTTGCAAAATAAAATAACGCGTAGCTCGCTCAACTTTTTGCCGGTGTGTGCGCGATGGTATAAAAAAACGCCTGGCTTGTAGTGTAACCGATTATGAAACAAAAATCTTATTAGAACAGTCAAAATGTGTGGCGCCATTTTTAATGAAGATGTACACGCGTTAGGTAACACGGATTAGGTTTTGCACCATTTCTTTTTCATATGTTATCCATGTTGCATCACAAAATACTGAAACGTAATTATATTATCTTTACGGGCGTTCTTAGGAAACATTAATATCAACGTTTTATTGAATTTTTCATATCTCTATTACTAAATTTATTCATGTAAGGTTCACAAAAACTATCTTCAGTAAACATAAAGAAATATAATTAAATCCGTTCGTCCTTATTTGGTTTTATAAAAATATAGATAAATAAAGAATCTTGGATAAATAAGATAGAAGTATAAAAATAAGTGTAAAAATAGCATAGAATCATTTCGTTCATAGAATTTACTTTGATTGACGTTGAAACCTAGAACCTAGGGTCTTAGCGTGCCCTGTCATAAAGACATCTGTGAAATGACCACCTTAAGATGGCAAATAGCCGCAGATTAACCTTGTCGTAATTGGTACTGTATATCGCTCTTCGTTAGGGTATCCTCACGATTTCGAGAAAAATTCGAGACCAAAGAAAAGTATAAATTGAATGTAAGCTACATTACATTATTTCGTTAGTTTTAGGTCATTCTTATATAATTTTTCACTTGCAAAAAAACCTTGCCAAAGGTGTTCTTATAAGAAATTATATAAAAGTTTTAGATGCTTCATCTTTGAGTATATTACAAACTATAGTTTTTCTATGGGAGAAATTATTCGACACCATCATATTAGTCCATTAAATCTCGAATAGATACTCTTGGCGTATAGCATTCCCGTAGGCAGATTTCTTTTCAATTAGCATCTATCATGGATAGATTCACATGAATCTGATTTTAATATTATCTCGGACGCCGTGAGAAAATTCTTAATGCATCCGTGAACATAGACACTCGATTATTCCGAGGAGTATACCACTGATGAGTTGTGAGATTGCGCGAGACTGGCGATTGCGTCATAAAGCTCGCGTCTTAAGTGAGCTCACGGCACTGGAAGCTGGGGCAAAGCGAGCCACGGGTCACCCGATTAATCGTTGCCCACAACAGATTTATTAGCCGCGTGTTGAACAGTCTAGAGTTAAGTGCTTAATGGATGCGATTTGAACGCACCAAGATCGTAATTAAATAGGATCGCTATAAACTCAGAAATGTGGGCTAAGTTTTATCTCTAATATTTGCATGAGCGTTATACGTGAGACGTTGAATTGCAGATGAATATCACTAATAGTGATTGCATTTCGTAAAAGCTGTGAAATGAATGCAGAAATTTCAACATTTTCATATCGTTTCTCTTTAGGTCTAGGTGTTTTCCAAGGCATGTAACTAATCCCTACATTATATATATATATATATCTTAGCATTTGAGATATTTTTTTCTTTTCTTATGAACGCTTTGACTAAAATAAGGTTAAGAGAACCCTTATTAGACCGACTTATGACATCCAAGTTCTGAGTAGCTCGTAGACACGAATATATTTGGAAATGATTGGAATTAGCAAAGCGTTTCGCGACCGGAACGCGATGGACTGCAACGAGTTCGACGTTACTCGTGCACGCTCCCAAAAGGTCACTCATCAATCGTAAAAGTGAACGTCTGTGGGAGAATTTGTTCTTAGTAATCTAGGCCTCACTCGTGGTCTGTCTTTAACCCTTCGGAAGCTCACACGTTCTATCTACATAGATATTCTGCTCTTAAGCAATGACTTTAAAGGAGTGTTTCGCATGATCGCGTTTCTATGTTGTTTTATGACAATGCAGCGCAAAATCATGTCTATATGATTAAAATTTTGTAACGTCGTGATTATAAGTTACTTTATGCGACAGGAAAAAATAATTTAACTATTCATATGAACCTTTTGCATATTTTTCCTTGGCATTACTAGGTATCTATTTTTTTTATAATGATCGAGATTCATCATAGGCTTTAATATTTTTATATATTATATTATATGTTTTTTTATACGTGTAATATGGTATACGAGCTCATATAAAGCATATTTTTATGTGACACCGGTGCTTACCAAGAACCAAATCTAAAGTTTTATTATCAACTCCATTTAATAACTGCAAGTTCGACCAAGAAGCAAGGCTCCTGTTTGAGTAGGACTTGTTTAGGGTTTCCTTAACAAGTCCTACACAAACGACCCAAAATATCCTAATGGCTAACTTCGTTAGTTTTATCTGATTTTTGATACATCTACCGTGAAAGTTATAATTTATAGTTACTGTTTATTGTTAAATAGCTTTCGAAGAATCTAACCCTAAAACGATTCCAGTACGTTCTTTACTCGAATTGAATCTTTTTTTAGTTAATTACCTTAATAACTCATCAAGCTATAGGTAAAAATATCACGAGCTTTTTGTGTAAAATGGACCTAACGGTCAAATGTCAGTGTTTCGTCATTGTGGTGTGGATTTAATCATTGTCATGAGTCTATCTCGAGTGTCAAACTCATTTCCATTCGGGGTTTGGGAACGCGCTGTGAGAAATCTAGAACAAAGGGTGCGCCATTAACGATTGCGAGGCGGACGTATCTCATTTTCACTTAGCATATTTCACACAAATGTTAAGTGGGCCGTATTTCTCAATCCCGATGGACGGGAAAAGTAACGTTTACGTTAATCTGATGGAGAGATTTATATTGCAAGCATTGTTCTAACAGAATTAACAGTACAAAAGTTCCGTGTTATGTAAACATTTAGAAAATTCATAGCTGATTCGCGGAATGTCAATGTTTGAATTCAAAATCCGTAAGAAACTTCCAAATTTCAGTTCTATTTTTTGTAAAAATAAAAAAATAAAATACATTTGGCGTAATGTTGACAATTGTCATAACAGTCATATTCTATTAAAAATATATTTTATTGGTCCTCAATAATCTGTATTATATTTCTTTGTTTCATAGCTTAGCATTGCATTGCATTCTTGGATAATTTGGAAACCTTAAAATTGGGAGACCAAATTAATAAAAGTACCGATTTAAAGCTAAGGTAACAAAACTAAATCATTTAGCGCCACGGGGCCTTGAAAGCTTTCGGATGATACTGTGATGTTTGGCTCCGAAGTAAAAAACTCTTAGTTTTTAATAAAAACTAAACTTCAACTAGACATGGATTTCATGACAATCAATCAACACAGGATAATTGGTATCCTAAAGTAAGGGCAATATTAAAAAAAAAAGAAAAAATTATGAGTTATCCTTTAAACTTTATTAGTAACTAACTCTAAATTTTATTAGTATCTTTTTCACCGAAATTCAAAATACCAACAATGCGATAAAATTTATATTTATCAAAAGATAAATTATTCTAACTCTAAATGTTCTCTTTTATATTATTATTTACACTTGTTTAATAGCGCCCTAATCTTTACAAGCTATATTACGTAGATGTCATGCAATGTTTACAAATATTTTTAACATCACAAAGTTATAACGGGTAAAGAAGTCAATTATGCGAACGCCAAAATAACCGAAAAACGTATCTTGCGCGATCTAACCAAAACAAACTCCGCTAACGATATGGCCCGACTGCGGATCTCAGTACAGTCAACCCAGAAAACGTGTGCGTGAAGGTATTCACTATTACGAGAGTGTCGCAACTGAAAATGGTATAAAATGTTACGCGCCGCACTCGTTATAGTTTTTCAACTGTCCGCTCGAAAGGTCAGCTCTGCTATTTGTTATAGCTTGGCCAACAGTTTGATTACTCTGTATTTGAATCATAAACTAATATGCGTCCAATAAATGTAATATACACAGCGTAACATCCGTGTAACGATATCTATATCGTCTACAGTTCTTGATTACATTAATTTTAACGAAATATTGAATTTAATACATTTATTTTAATTGTGCAAAGCCCTCGATGGTTTTTTCTATGTCAATAATACAAACATTGCTACAGGTACGTACCGCGGTGAAGGCGCCGGTGCTGGATCCAGTTCTGGTTACTCCTCCGGTCCCTCTGGTCAATACGGTGCTCCCTCCGGATTCGGCGCTGGCTCCCGTGGATCCGGTGCCGGCGGTGCCGGTTTCGGCGCTGGCGGTTCCGGTTTCGGTGCTAGCGGCTCCGGTTTTGGCGCTGGCGGTTCCGGTTTCGGCGCTGGCGGTTCCGGTTTCGGCGCCGGCAGTTCCGGTTTTGGCGCTGGCGGTTCCGGTTTCGGCTCCAGGAATAACGGGTTCGGTGCTGGCGCTGCCTCCCGCCAATACCTAGCGCCTAATGCTGGCCCTAGGGGTTCCGGCAACGGCAACTTCAACTCTCAAACCGGATACCGTTATTAATTATGCTAAGATGATGACGAGGGCTTGAATAAGGTTTGAGACGCGACTTTTGTTGGAGTGTCTATTAAGTCTAATGTAGTCTTTCTCTTTCCTACGTACCACCGATATGGAGAGCGAAGCTTTATTCTTACGAAGCGCGATATTCGCGCGAAAAAGTCTAACTTGAGATTATTTGATTGAATCATTCACCATTCACCTTATATTCAAACTTTCAATCTGGTAAAGCTTTTATTTTGTGTCCTTTTTCCACCTGTTGTTTCCGTTTCTTCACCTATCACGCCCTCTATCGTCACACAAATCAAACAATGGCGACGAATCAAGCTGTGAACCGATATTGTGATGCTCACTATTTATAATACTCATTTATTTACAAATAGAAGTTCTTCCCAAGACTCTTACACACTGTTCATGATCTCAAAATCACTCTTACCTAAATCTTTCTTATTTTCATCATGCCTTTCAAATTTTACGAGACGAATAAACTTAGAAAATAGTTTTTATTACGCGGCGTTGTAAATGGACAGTATTAGATGTAAGAAAAAATGTATAAAAAAATTTAACGATGCTATAGTTATAAGTTTTGTAAATATGAATGTAATAAAGAGAATTTAGCAAATCAAATTTTTTTTATTATTATATATTTAAGTTAGCCGATAGGTGTTTTTTAATATCTTTTAATTACACTGTAATAAAAAGCAAGTGAATTTTTTATCTGGTTTCGACAAGGCTCGTTAAATTTATTAATTCACAATATTTTTTTTACACCAACCACCACGAATTACACTTAATGTCAATAATATAGCAAATTACGATAAATTAGTTTGAAACACGTTTCAAAGTGCCACAAACTAAATATTTTAAGCATCTTCAGTATTAGCCGTAAGATGGCGCTGACTTAAAATCTACTTAGAATTGTTAAGACAGTTTTACAGATGTCTCTGCCTTCTAAAAGAATGTCGAGCTTAGCACAGAGTTTCTTGTTTTAATGCGAAATATTGGCAAGTGAGCAGGTGGTTGCCAGGTGACCAGTTAAGTGATTGCTGCAAATTCAAACTCAAATCATTTATTCATCGAAATAAGAAATATACATTTCATTTATCGATTTTAATTTTTTAAATCTACCACCGTTTCGTAATGAGGTTCCTCTAACGGAGAAGGAACAGGTGAAAGAAACTCCGTAGGTATCTTCTTTTTTGTCATTTTTTTTACTCAATAAATACATTGTTATACAGTACATATTTTTTTTAGAAACAGCTTAGGAGCGACCATCTCATTCCCCCATAGCAAAATACCGTATGACATTATACTATGGAAGTAACTAAACTAAACGATTGTAGCTGTAATTACATCAGTCAGACATCTTATTTTCCATACAGCATATGCTGCAGAACTTAATCTGCTAGCAAGTTTGGATACATGGGGGCCCGATTGAAGCTTTCAATCAAGAGTTATTCCTAGAAAAACAGTGGTATCTACAAGGCCTAACACATCCCCATTTATAAGTACATTGGCACGAGCCAAGTGTTTAACATTAGGTGTCGAAATTTTTATACATTTAGTTTTATTAACATTTAACAGTAAATTATTAGCATTAAACACATGAACTATTTCTGACATGCTTCGGATCATGGACATCTAAAACAAGAAAGGGGTTGCAAATACGTTACCAATTTTCAAAAACAATGGGACCCGATTACAAACAGAAAAAGTATAATACGTCTGCTTCACACCGGTCTTCTATTTAGCCGTGGTACTCCCAGCCTGCACACTCATGGCTTATCACAGTCTTCTTATTCTTTCGCTTGCCCTTACCCCATTGAGATGGGTTCGGCATAACATGTGACTCGTGTTGTTAATGATATCGGTCAGAATTTTTACTACCTGCCTGACGTCAACCCTTCTTGGGAATAAGCATCCAGATCCGGAACAATTATCTGTAGATCACACAAAAACTTGTCCCATATGTAAATCGAACATACGAACCCCGGTGCCGAATCCAATAGCTTAGTACCATTAAGTTAGTTATCCATCACAGTAAAACATAAGTAATTTATGTAATACTTACTATTAATAATATGGTATTTGTAACATTATTGTCTATGATTATTACTATATATTGGGTCGTTCATAGATATTACTTCCTTCTTATTCTTGTCAACGCCCAACGTGCATATCATGTAAGTGATCAAATAAAGTTTATACAACTAAACAAGTCTTCTTTACTCATTTACAATAAAACATGGTGTCAGAAGTGAAAAATTAATACAAATACAAGAAAAAATAATATGGCAGATCAGTCTAACATAATAATTTCAAACACGCTACGACCTCTCATTGTCGACGGACAAATATGTGAAAGATGGCGGACATGGAAGCAAAAATTCGAAATTTTTATGGAAGCAAACGAGCTTGACAACCGATCACCAACCAAACAAGTCGCAATCCTTTTAAACGCAATCGGCGACGAAGGATTAAAGGTATTTAATTCATTCAATATTAACAGAGCAGATTCTTCATTAACCTTAAAACACGTGTTTGACAAATTCGACGCAAAATTTAATCCATGCAAAAAACGTGACCGTCGAAAGATTTAATTTTTTCACAAGAACACAAAAGGAAGGTGAAACAATCGATGAATATGTCACAAGTCTGACCAACCTAAGTCATTCATGCGAGTTCAAAAGTCTCCAAAATTCTCTAATAAAAGACATGTTTGTTATTGGAATAAGAAGCCGTAAAATCCAAGAACATTTGTTACAAAAGGACAAGTTGGAAATAGAAAGTGCCGTAAATATAGCAAAAAGCATAGAAATGTCGCAAAATAGGTCAGAAAAGTTACAAAATAGTCAACAATTAAATATAAATGTCGCTAAATATCAGCCAAAAAGGATTTCAAGAAGCATAGGGAGAAGGGATAATCGTTCAGAGTCATCAGCATCAAGAAACATTTCAAGTAGTCGCAGCCAGACAAGTCAATATAAGAAACAATGTTCTCGATGTGGTCAAATTCATAGATTTAAATGTCCAGCAATGGGAAAAGTTTGTATAACTTGTAAAAAACCAAATCATTTTGCCAATTGCTGTTTTTTCAAACCTAAACTTAATAAAGTAAGTTCTGTCTGTAACAATTCACCCTTTGAAAATAATAACTTTATAATTAGCGCTATCAATAAATCACATCAGGATTGGCAAATTGATGTGGACTGTTATGGATATATATTAAAATGTCGGATAGATACAGGTGCTGATACAAATGTAATGTCTAAACAAACTTTTGAAACACTTTGTTCAGCCACAAACACAAAAATACCTATTTTTAACACACATAATAACATATATTCTTTTTCAGGCGAACTAATTCCAAATATCGGTATTTGTAATTTAGAATGCAAATTCACTAACGGTTTGATAAATAACTTACAATTTACTATTGCGGATTGCAATTGCCAGACAATTTTAGGATGGAAAAGTTGTGAGAAAATGGGTATAGTACAAAGATTATTTACTTTAACAGAAAATAAGCAACTACAGTCAAGGTCAGTACAAAACATTCTTAATGAGTATTCATCAATGTTCACAGGGTTAGGATGTTTAGTCAAAGAAGCACATTTAGATGTTGATCCTAGTATTCCTCCAAAAATCTGCCCAGTTCGTAGGATTCCCTATTCTCTTAGAGATAGATTAAAACAAGAGTTAGATGAAATGGAAAAAATACATGTTATTGAAAAAGTGACAAAACCAACTAAATGGGTGAGTTCTATTGTTCTAGTACAAAAACCTAATGGTAAATTACGTATATGCCTAGATCCGAGAAATTTAAATTTAGCAATTCAAAGACCTCATTATCCTTATCCTACATTTGATGACTTACGTTCTAAAATAGCCGGTGCTACAATATTTTCTAAATTAGATGCTAACTCAGGATACTGGATTATAAAATTAGATGATGAAAGTAGTGACCTGTGCACATTTAACACACCTTATGGAAGGTACAAATTTCTTCGTCTTCCATATGGTATTAATTCTAGCGGAGAAATATTTCATAGAATAATGTCTGAAACATTTGAAGGTCTTCCCGGTGTAATAACATTCATTGATGATATCCTTGTATTTGCTTCTTCAGAGTCTGAACATAATCAACGTCTTGAAGCTGTTTTTAAAAGGGCCCAAGAAGCAAACATAAAATTTAATAAAACAAAATGTTCTTTTGGAGTCCCTGAAGTGTGCTATGTAGGACATATTTTTAATAAAAATGGTGTTTCCCCTGATAAGTCTAAAATAGAAGCTATAATTAATATGAAAAGTCCAACAAATGTCAAAGAGCTTCAACGCTTCTTAGGAATGATAAATTATCTAGGTAGCTTCATTTCTAATTTAGCAGAAAAAACTAATTTACTTCGAGCTTTACTTAAAAAACAAATATGTGGCAATGGACAGAGTCACATGAGCAAGAATTTATAAAATTAAAATCATTAATATGTCAGGCTCCAGTATTAGTTCATTATAATATAAATAAGCCTATAAGAATGTCAGCTGATGCTTCAAAAAATGCTGTAGGAGCAGTAATATGTCATGAAAAAAATCCTATTGCATATGCCTCAAAGTCATTAACTTCTTGTCAAGAGCAATATGCTCAGATTGAAAAAGAATTATATGCTATAGTTTTTGGATGCAAAAAGTTCCACCAATATATATTTGGTAAACCTATCTTCGTAGAAACTGATCATCAGCCATTAGTTACTCTTTTTAAAAAGCCTCTGTCAGATGTTCCTACTAGATTGCAAAGAATGATGATTACATTACAAGCATACCATTTAATTGTTACATATAAAAAAGGCACAGAAATGTATATTGCAGATACACTTTCACGTTCCCCAGTAGACAATTCAATTAAAGACTTAACAAGTTTAGAAGAACTAGAGGACAATATAGAAATTCATGTCAATTTACTTACCTCAAATTTAGCTATAACTAAAGAAAAACTAGATAAAATATTGTTTCATACGAATAATGACATAATTTTACAAAAAATAAAAGAATATTGTAAAAATGGTTGGCCTAATAGCAAACAAAATTGTGATCCAAAAGTTCTTTCTTATTGGAATATAAAAGAAGATTTACATATTATTCAAGATATAATTTTTAAGTCTCAGTCAGTAGTAATTCCAACATCAATGAGACGAGAAATTCTTTCTATTTTACATGAAGGTCATCAGGGCATGGAAAAAACAAAAAACTTAGCCCGAGGAACAGTTTATTGGCCAAACATGAATCATGAAATCGATGACTTAATAAAGCAATGTGATGTATGCCTTATGTATAGTCCTAATAAAAGAACCACTCTTGTCACATGAACAACCTTTATATCCATGGCAAAAAGTAGCAACTGATTTGTTTGATTATAAAGGAAAGAAATACTTATTAGTTGTAGACTACTATTCAAATTACATTGAAATAGCTTATTTGAACAATGATAGTAGAAGTTCAACAGTAATTACACAATTAAAATCAATATTTGCTCGACATGGAATTCCTTTACAATTAGTCAGTGATGGTGGTCCCCCTTATAATTCAGCTGATTTTAAAAATTTCTTATATGATTGGGATATTCAACACATAATGTCAAGTCCTCATTTCCCCAGATCAAACGGTCTAGCAGAAGTCTCTGTTAAAACTATAAAAAATATTTTTAGAAAATGTGATGAGTCAAATACAGATTATTATTTAGGACTTTTACAACACAGAACAACACCTAGAGGAAACATAAATTCCCCTTCACAACTGTTAATGTCGCGTCAGCTAAGAACCAAATTACCTTCTAAAATAGCTAATTTAAAACCTAAAGTTGTAAAATTTTCAATACATTCACAAAACAAACACAAAAACATAGATAAATCAAAGTTCTATTATGATAAAAATTCTCATCAGTATTCAGATTTTAATGATAAAGATTTAGTATATTTCAAAAAGAATCCTAAAGGTATTTCTTGGTCAAGAGGTACTATTGTCTCAAAGTCCAACTTTCCCCGTTCATATATTATAAAAGATGAATATGGCACTACTTACAGAAGGAATTCACAACACATCCGTCAAAGATACAACAAACAATCATCACCAGCATACATACCATCAGAGTCAGACAATCACACTAAGCCTAGTAATATTAATATGTCAAATAATTCTTTGTTAGATAAAGAGGATGATAGTATGATTGTAACAAGTTATTTTAAGTCAAAAGAAAATGTAAATCATAGTAATACTCAGCCACCTAAGTATAGTAGTCGAGGAAGATTAATAAAGAAAAGAAATGTGTTATATTTATAATTTGTATTTTAGTTCAAAGTTATAAGAATAAGTTTGTAAACACTTCATTGTATTTCATTGTATAAGATTGTCACATTCATTTCACTTTTAGGGAAATGTATTTAAAAATTAAAACTATATGTTAGTCAATAAAAGATATTTCCCTCATTTCATTAGTTTTAAGCTTTGATTGTTAATTTAATTGTTTTTAAAAATTGTTAACAAACAAACAAATTACTTGTCATTGTCAAATGTCAACGATAGTTATTTTCATTTGTAAAAAAGGGGCATGTAACATTATTGTCTATGATTATTACTATATATTGGGTCGTTCATAGATATTACTTCCTTCTTATTCTTGTCAACGCCCAACGTGCATATCATGTAAGTGATCAAATAAAGTTTATACAACTAAACAAGTCTTCTTTACTCATTTACAATAAAACAGTATTAAATGTGAAAAAAAAACTAGATGTATTCTTTTTACCCTTCCCACTATAAGAAGGCCAAGTTTTAGTTAAGTATTAAATAACGTACTCATTAAGTGGAGTCCCCATACATCATCTCTTGCGAATAGGCTGAGCTCCGCTGTTTTTGCGATTAGAAGGGTTAGGCAGCTAACAGACATCGACACTGCCAGACTTGTTTACTTCGGTTATTTTCACAGCATCTTGTCGTACGTCATTTTGTTGGGGGGTAGTGCATCTGATATAAATTCTATATTTATTCTTCAAAAAAGAGCTTTCCGAGCAATCTACAATATCGGAGCCCGGAATTCACTCAGAGATCTTTTTAAAGAGGTTAATATACTCATTGTTGCTTCTCAATACATTTGTTGTAATATTTTGTAGGTACGTCATAACCTTAATTATTACCTAAAGAATAATGACAGACATAAAATAAACACTAGAATTAAGGTCAAACTTACTACGCCATTGTTTCGTCTACATAAAGTAAATAGGTCATTCATGGGGCAAAGTGTGCGCATGTATAATAAAATCGCACAATATTAAGTCTGCCGCTCGATCAAGTTAAATGTAAAATTAAAAGTCAACGTACGGTTAAAGCATATTATACAATTGCGGAATATATCTACGACGCCAATGTGTGGAGTTAATACTGTTGATACTCGCGTAGGCTAAAATAAGACTATTATAACTGTGTATTGTGACTATTATAGCTGTATTATAGCTGTGTGTGCCTAAAGTTACTGTTGATATTCGCGTAGGCTAGAATAAGACTATTATAGCTGTATGTTATATTGTAAACTGATACTTTTGAAAAAGAGCAATTGTTAAGTTTCCTGCCGGTCTCTTCTCCACAGAAACTGCTTTCCGAATATATAATATTTGATGTAAAATTTGACGATTCATAAGAACGCCCAAGCGTCTATTTGAATAAATATATATTTGATTTGATTTGAATATTGACGTTAAATACAATTTAACAAGTTTGCAATTAGGAATAATTACGAATAAAAATATAAATGATATGGATTAAACATCTTCCGAAGCATAAATCAAGAAACTTATTGCATTTATCATAGTAGTATTGTAGATATTTGAATATCATTGCCATAATAAGCGGTGGTTACTCAGTGTACGGGCGTTCGGTTTAGTTTAGTAAACACTTTCAATGCGAGTTCAAACAACCGTATGCGTGTTGCAAATGTCTATGGGTGGCGGCTGTCACTTAACATTGCGTGAACCTCAAGCTCGTTTGCCACCTTCTCATATAAAAAAATTAAGTCGCTCCCGTCTGAATTTCAGTTTCAAAGGAAGCTGAATGACACTAAGAGCATTTTCTAATAGATCTTACTGGGACTACCCCAGTAAGTACTTCAGCTGCTAAATGGGCCGAAAAAGTAAAACATACTCATAGAAACCCATTGTAAAATTAAATATATCACTATCCTGCCCTTACCTTACCTAGGTATTGCCGGCATAACAAATATTTGTCTCTCTCGTCTTTAAATCGATGACGCTCGGCACCAAGGCCAATAGCTTGTCAACTAAGCCACGAGTCATCCAGTCATCGTAAAATATAAAAGTAAGTATTTGTTAGTAAAGAATAGTATTTGTTAATTTATTCGGTAAGAAAGGTAAGTGGAGGTTAATAATATAAGTTGAAAACACACATACAACACATTTGTTGTTGCGGATGTACACGAATATTCATAATATAAGTTGAAAACACATATACTTTAACAGAAAAATATAATTGTTTTTTGGAATGATTTAAATGATTTCTTACGCTGGTTCTTCTCAGGTCAGTGGCTTACCTTCCGAACCGGTGGTAGAGTTTTTTGACTATCAATAAGTAAGTGAATGCTTCTATATTGAATAAAGATATTTGACTTTGACTTTGACTTTGATTGGGTATGCAATGCAAATGTTGATTTAATTGAACGAAGAAGCACAGCAAAACGTGCATGTAAAGCAATTGCTCTAAAGGAATCCTTAGTATGACGACTCTGATCAAACAAGGTATGAGTTAGCAAAAAAGATTACAACCGTTTAGGACTTGCTCGCCATTTACGGTCGAGATGAGCCTAATGACTATTTATGATTTGACCTCGACGTCGGAGCTTTGATGTAGTAACGACAGATGCTACTAGAACTTTAGGCTGTTGCCAAGGAGATTGGGAAAACGCGCGGATAGCCCAGTTTGTACTTTATGTTTTGATCCGTAGACCTTTCAGCTCGCAACTAATCGAAATGGTGACGTACAAACAATTACTCTGGATCTGGATGGCTCGTTATATGTAATTTGTTTTAGTGATTTGTGTGTGAAATACACTTTTAAGTGAGAATGTCTCTCAGCCAAAAAAACAACAATTTAGGACAAAGATATGCATGAACACGTATTTCAAAAAGT